GGGAATAATTTCTCTATTTCTTATATGAAAGCACCTGAAGGACATGAGACCTGAGAAATTTCTTCTCTGACTTCACATGTACTTACCTGTGGCCATTCTCCCAACCAGCTCCCACTTAAACAGAACATTAACTTGTAATTGTTGCGCTCCACTCCTTTAGAGAAAATTTAGATTGCTCAAGTTATGGCTTCTAATCCTCAATAACAGTTCCTTTATTCTTGATAGTAGCTGAACTTCAACATACCTTCCCATGGTAAAGTCCCATAAAACATTCCACCCTCTTGCTCCAAGTCAGAATGTTCCTTGGAGCTTTATCAGGCCAGGCATTCTCAAATAAACATGTTTGGCTCAATTTTCTTCCAGTATTTGGTTCATTGACTTGGATAGCCATTTCCAGAAATCCCTTCATGTGCCCCTACCCTTGAGTCTCACAGAATGGCCAATTGTGGAAGGCCCCTCCTGAGCAGCACTACACTCTTTACATTGAAGCATGATCTATGTCTTTATTCTCTCTCTCTTCTTTGCCCTTAGTATAAGCCTCTTGATTTGATTTGTTTTGCTACTCAGTGTTATCAGGACAAGGTGGGATTGCAGTGCTAAGGAGATCAGGGTTTTTTGTTTCTTTTATACTTTTATCATTTGAATATGAACAACTACAAGTCATATAATGAACTTCAGAGTCATTGTCTGCCTTTTAATATGACAAGGATTATGGTGCCAATAGCACTAAACATTGAAATTCTGGTAGGATTTTATGAAAGACAAGTTAGAATGTCAGTGGCCATTCAGGGGAATTTGTGATATGAATAAGACAGTCTTATATTCGTGTGGTACCTTGTAATCAAAAGGTTCAAAGATTCCAAATATTTAATCATTAACATCTTTAAAACTATTTTGAAGATAGCTTTAGAAACAAAGAAAAACTCTAAAAAGCAGTAGTATTTGGACTTACTGTCAAGATGACTTGGACTATCCGAATCCAGAACCTTCTGAGTTCCAAAAAAAGAGAAAGTCACTGATACTGGCAGAAGGCAAAAGACTTGATGACTTGAGCTGCATGAGCCCCACATACTCACTATAGTCCCCCTTACACAAGTCCCAAGTCCCATGGGTGGGGGGACATAAATGGGCTGGCACAGATGTCTTCATATGCACTGGGTTATATTATAAGGGAGAATATTTCTATCATTATGCTATAGGAGCTTAGGAAATCTGAGTCTTTATAATGGGCAGTAAGTAAGCATAGCTTTTATTTCAGAGGGAGACATCTTTGTTAAATTGGAGAGTAAGTATACATTTCTTCCTTTATTCTGGATGGAAACACTATCTCTATTTTCTAAAACCATAAGTAAGCCTGTCCTTTGCTTTGGAGGAAAATGCCATGCTTTTTTTTTTTTTTTTTTAATTCCAGTATAGTTAACATACAGTGTTAGTTTCAGGTATACAATATAGTGATTCAGTACTTCCATATATCACCCAGCGCTCAACATGATAAGTGTACTCTTAATCTCCTTCACCTATTTTACCCATTCCCCTATCTACCTCCCCTCTGGTAAGCACCAGTTCATTCTCTATATTTGAATCTGTTTCTTTGGTTTGTCTCTTTTTTTCTTTATTTGTTTTGTTTCTTAAATTCCACACATGAGTGAAATCATAAGGTATTTGCCTCTCTCTGGCTGACCTATTTCACTTAGCATTATACTCTAGATCCTATGTTGTTGCAAATGACAAGATTTCATTCTTTTTTATTGCTGAGTAATATTCCATTATACACACACACACACACACACACACACCACCTCTTCTTTATCCATTCATCTATCATTGGACACTTGGGTTGCGTCCATATTTTGGCTATTATAAATAATGCTGCATTGAACATAGTGGCGTATATATCTTTTTGATTTAGTGTTTTTGTATTTTTAAGTAAATACCCAGTAGAGGAATTACTGGGTCATATGGTAATTCTATTTTTAATTTTTTAAGGAACCTCCATACTGTCTTCCACAGTGTCTGTACCAGTTTGCATTCCCACAAATAGTACACTTTTTCTCCATATCCTCATCAAAACTTGTTGTTTCTTGTGTTTTTGATTTAGCCATTCTGACAGGTGTGCAGTGTGCCTTTTCTGTTTTTAAAGGTTTTATTTGTTTGTTTATTTATTTATCTAGGGAGAGAGAGGGAGTGTTGTAGAGTGGGAGGTGGCAGAGGGAGAGGGAGAGAGAGAATCCTAAGCAAGCTCCACACCCAGCACAGAGCCCAACACAGGGCTTGATGCAGAGCTCAATCTCATGACCCCAAGATCTTGACTGGAACTGAAATCAAGAGTTGGCTGCTTAACCAGCTGAGCCACCCAGGCACCCCTTTTCTGTTTGTAAAGATTCTTAACTATACAGACAAACTTCAGGACAGTCCAGGCCAGTGTCTCTCTTGTAGGAAGTATAAAAAATGTCAGGGACACATGGACAATTATCTCTCAACTCTTCTTTGAACATTCTTTTCTTCCCCAATAAAACAAGAGGGTTCAGGGTGCCTGGGTGGCTCAGTTGGTTAAGCGACTGCCTTCGGTCAGGTCATGATCCTGGAGTCCCAGAATCGAGTCCCGCATTGGGCTCCCTGCTCAGCAGGGAGTCTGCTTCTCCCTCTGACCTTATTCCCTCTCATGCTCTCTCTCTACCATTCTCTCTCTCTCTCTCTCAATAAATAAATAAAAATCTTTAAAAAACAACAAGAGGGTTCTTCCACTTGTGATAGTCAATGATTTTTTAGAAAGAGATGATTTGTATGGGCTTAAGAATATGGGGAAGGGTCTATAGGAAGTTAGCAATGAGAGATGCTGAGCATTCGACAGTTTTTAAAAAAGATGGAATTGAAGTATGAATGTATATAAAGCATTATACAACTAGAAAACTTTTATCATCCCTATGACAAATTCACAGTAACACCTAAGTTATTATAGGCATGTCCTGCAGACAGCATCTCTGGTTAACATTTCCTTAATAGAATACCTCTTGGGTTTTAGTTAACCAAATTCCAACCACATATACAATGAGCATATCTACCAGCACAATGTTTTCAGCCAAAGTTTATGTAAGAAAATTTTATATATGTATTTCCAAATCTCAATATAAATCTTTAATAAAATTTCGAGTGGGCTAAATCTTAGGGTACATTCCAAACACAATGGATAAAGATCAGTTCAGTCTAACCCTGATTTGAGAGAAAAGTTTTCAAAATATTTAGTAAGTCACAATATCACAAATATTTCCAAGTGTCCTCTTATCTATTTTTATATTGCTCTGAGAAGAGGGCAGTATTTTGATTATATCTTCACCAGATGACTTAATTCACTTTTTAAATATATAGTATCACCAGCCTAGATTTGAAAAATCATGTCATCTAAACTTTAAGTACCAGTGTGTCAGAGGGTGGCTAAGTATAACCATAGCATATGTACATAATTATTTGGTCAAAGGGAAAGTACAAAGAAGAATGCACAATGTAAGTTGGCAAGAGAACTGAAAACTACAACCAAAGGTATGATAAAAATTGGAAGAGTGATGTTTTATGATGAGAATGCCCCCAGAGAAATGACAATTGGCCCTGAATGAACTGGGCTCAAAGCCTACCTTGCTTTTAGATATTTCAGTTAGGTGATCCAATACATACCTTTATTTTTTGAGCCAAAGTATGCTGGGATCTTTCTTACCTACAGCTACAAATGTCCTATCTTATACCATGGGATTCTCCAACTGGAAGAACAGATTCTGGTCCTCACAGTTCCTTTCCAAAGGAGGAGGTCAAACTAAAATAGGAATTGGCACAAGCACTGTCACTGTGAACTGTTCTAACCCATTTTTATTACTTTAACCAGGGCAGAAAATCAAGATCCATGGGGTTTTACATCATAAATTCATTTAAACTGATAGAAAAGTGTTTCTACCAAAAATGCTAAATGGGTATTTAGTCAATGGTATTTGCTCTTTGAAAGAGCAAAAAGAATTTAACAAATATTAATTTTTAAAAAGGGACAATGTCCATTCAATCATCTATTTATTCAAAAAGTATTAACCCTGCTTAGCAGTGTTCTAGTATTCTTTGTTCATATGGCAAATTTTGTCAGTGGTCTCATATGACAACTTCTTTTCCAGATTAGGGAACTAGCCAAATACAGTTTTTTTCACAATAGAAACATGTGGCTAGGGAGGGGTGGTGATAAGATGGAAGACAGATTAGTGGTCTTGATATACACAAATACATGAAAAGTCTGGGTCTTGCCTTCAGTCAAAGGGAATTTCTTCAAAAGAGCATCATTTTTTTTCACTCAAAAAATATTAACAAAAATCCTATCAGATGTTATCCCAACTCCAGTCCTGACTGAGGTCAGAATCTTTTAAGGACAAAAGAAAGAGGACCCAGGAGAGTCTGTTCTCACAAATGCCCCCTAGGGACAGGGCAACGCATAGTTCAGTGGACCAGTGCCAACTGACCATGGCAAGGAAAGTAACAGAATTTGAAAGATATTAGAAAATTGTACAGTAATTTGACAAATCACTCATATGTCTGTCAAAACTAATAACAAAAAAAATTAGGTCTGCATTTTGATTATCTGTTTTATCCATTTAATTTTTAGATTTATTTGTAGTCTATTTTTCAAAAATTGATGAAACCTATTCATTTTCCTTCACTCTGACAGTTTAGGAAGTACTGTTCTAAACATTATCTGAACCTCTAGACTGGTTGTATCACTCCATCAGAGACCTGGAGGAATTTGTGTGCAGCAAAATGTGTGGGAGAACAAGGTACACAACCCAAATCCTACACAAACAGTCCTAAAACACCTCATCAGAAACTTGCTGGTAGTGATACATATTTAGTTACTCTTCCAGAAACCAGGGTGAAAATGGGCAAAAAGAAGACCCACAGAATCTCCTCCTCCAACCACTTCCTCCTCCTCAGAGTTTCTCTATGAGACAGAAGCACACAAGAGAGGCAATTACAGACTAAAATTATTTATTTTTTATTTTGCCATTTGAAACTTAAATTATGGAAGACACAGACGAGTTTGAAATGAGGCTGAGAAGAAGGGAAGGTCATAATGAGGTGGTCAAGTTTAGAGGTATAGGAGAATGTTTCTTTCGGGGGTATTCTTTACACTTGGTCCCATGTCCATGATGAGTTGCATGCAAAACTCAGGTTCCTCACGTCTCCCCAGACCTCGTCCTTGAACTTGCAGACATAGGGTAGCCTCGTACCACAGTTGTAATCTTTCCATTTCAGATATCCTAGAGAGACAAAGGAGCTCAGGTAGCTGTGGCTGATGGAGCTCTTGAACCCAAGGGAGAGGTATCCCAGATTCTGGCCTAGGATCCAAAGCCTCTCCCTCATCCTCACCAGTGTCCTCCTCCAGAGGAAGGAGACTCAAAGAAAGGAGAGATGAGAGGGGATGGGGGAAGACAAACCAACACTACATTTCCTAGCTCAGGAGGATTCTCTGAAGGTCATGCCGAGAAATGGAGAAAAAGAGAATGGAAAAGTCTGGGCAGAAAGTAGCTCCTCTGTTACTTACCTGTGCTACTTGACAGACTCCCACAATAGCCAGGGTTTGTGAGAGTGGGGGGGTCTCTCTCCCAGGCAAAGTAATTCAGCACATCATTGCTACTCCACTCCCATCCACCTGCATTGGGCTCATAGCCCTACAGAAGATGGAGTGTGGTGAGGTTGAATAGCCATGAGAGTTCTCCTTGCATGAACCCCTCCCCAGCATCACCAAATTTGCTGTGCTCATCTAGATGCTTCCCTGGAGCCAGAGCTCTCCTCTGGGAAACTCTTCCCAGCATCTTCCTCTTATTGGCAGATTCCCAAACCAGTAATCACAAAGACCTACAGAACCACTCAGAGTAACTTGTTACTGACTGAACAGCAATTAGTGGTGCATTTGTAATTACCCCCTGAACCTCAAAGACAGTGTCTGTTCTAGAGCAAAAATGGATCCTATCTTCACTTAGGATTCCCTCAGCACAATTTTTGCAGACTCTGTGAAGCTCAGAGAACTGAATTACAAGGCCTCATGTGCAAATTGTGTACAAGCATGACAGGAGGCAGATTAACTTCAGCTGGAGACAAGGGACTTCCACACAACTCAGCTGGTGAGCCACTACAGAGCCCTCCCTTTCCCCCTCATGTCCTCCTGGATCTCTGAGCTCCAGGGCTCTTTAAGGCATTTACTAGGCAGGCACAGGGGACAGGGAGTAGGCTTGGGGGGGCAATAGCATCTTGAGAGGTTTTGAAGAGAAGATGAGTTCATACCTCTGTGGGGTCATGGAGCCCGATCCAGATATTTGAGTAGGTGTTCACACTGTTCTTGACTAGGGAGGCCACAAAGGATGCTTCAGACCCACTGAGCACAGACACAAGGTGTCCCGAGGACCTCTTCTGGCAGGCCATCTGTGTGGGGAAGGGAGAGACTCAGGCGGAGCCTGAGACATCATTCGGGGGAGGGTAGGCAGAGGTAGGGGAGAAGGGGTATATATGCAAAAGATGTGGATGCTCGGTCTTGCCCCCAAGAAATTCTGGAGAATGGAACTGACCCCCCCGCCTCAGGTCTCTTATGTACTTTCCCTTAAAACCCTAACTGAAATACAAGTACTCACATCTGCATCCATCCAGGATTTTGGTGTCATAAACAAGGCATAGCAGTGGGAGGCATAAGCCTTGGAGCCTTGGGACAGCTGATCCGTGGAGCGGGCGCATCCTTCTGGGAGTCTTCACCTAGGGTAGGAGGAAATAAAAGAGAAGGAAGAAGTAAATAGGAGAGTGGGGATCAGGGTAGGGAGGTGACCTAGGGGAGTATGTATGAGGCCAGTGCTTGGGAAGCGATGCCAAAGTCCTGACTGCCTCTCCCCATTGCCAACAATTTCAAGATTTCTTGATCTTGGACCAGCCCCACTAAATGAGGAGTCTTCTCTTTTCTTCTCATCCTTCCCCTTCAAAGTCCAACCCTTCCCCACTCTAGGCTGACCATTCTTGCACTGGGTCCTCATTTTCCTTCCCTGTATCTCATGACTGACCCTTCATGCTTTTCCTCTTTCACCTACCAACATAAATTAGAGTGCTGGGACAAAATGGAAATGACCTCCTTGCAGTGTTAGGGGACCACTGTGATGCTGGCCACCCCTAGTTACCCTGAAGGAAGGAGTGATGATGGACAAGTTATAGGCAGTTTCTTTGTGTGAGTATATGTGTCACCACATTACCACGGGGGCCTTCCTCTTCTTCTTGGCCCCGAGCATTCACAAGGACCCAGTGCTGGGAACAGTGAAAGCTCACCTGGGACCCGAGCCAGGAACATCAGGCAGGAAAGCAGCATCCAGGACATGCTGGGGAGGGCCATGGGAGGCAGCATCGTGTCTATGATATGAGGAAGCAATCAGAGATCACTAAGGAAAACATGATTGGAGAGAGGGCATGCAGAGATGCCACTCCTCTTCCTTGTCTTTCCATTGACATCTATCCCCTTGTATAGCTCTGGAAAGAACTGGAAATCTGTGACCCTCCTACCCCCTGGGAACGGACAAGCTTGCCTGTGCTGAGACCAGAGCTCCTGTGTCCCTGACAGGGATCCTCCTGTACCTTCCCCCAAGTATGTACAGTATAATTCCTGTCATGGGTCTCATCTTCTCTCAGCTTCTACTCACCTGTCTTGCAGGGATTTGCAAAGGTTTGTCAGGTCAGAGAAGACTGGGCTTTTATAAGAAAATTTGAAGGCGGGGCACTGAAATGAATTACAGGATTGTGGAGGGGACAGGTGTCATGGGAGGTGCTTGGCATTGGTTCAAGGAGATTGCCACCACAGGGAGGAGTCTCTTCCCAGCAAAGGCTGGGAATTGCCACAAATATGTCCTCTTTCCTGTTCGCAGGTCAGCACTTTCCCAAGGAACAGGTGAAGTTTGTTCTTTCCCTGCCTCTTCTGTGTTAGGGGCTGTTAGCACAAATTGTAGTATTAAAAAAGGGGAACATCTAATGGAGTAATTCTTCTGGTTGATATTTCAAGAACTCCCTTCTGTAGGCATACATACGTATTTCTTTCTGTCTTGTGCAGTTAAATTAAGTAATTTGGGATGATAAGTGGAGGCAAGTATGGCAATTACAAGTATCACAGGTCTCATAAGTGAGAGCATAGAAGGAACTAAAGCCAAGAGTGGAGATGATATTTCAGGGTTGCCTCTTAAACATGGTGGTTAATTTTAAAGAAAACTCAGAATCATCTGATGATTCAATAGTTGAGCCAAGACATTATGGAAAATCAGATGCTTAAACTTGCCTTGCTAGTCTCCTGAGAGATGGAGCTTACCTGATGGATAATTACAGTGGGATAAAATGAGAGGCAATGGAAATTAGAGCATAAGGAGGATTAGAGTCAAATGATGCAGAGCCAAAGGAAAAAAAAATGAGGGTTAAAAAAGGGTCAGAGCAGGAATTGGATGAAATTGTAGATATCGTCCTATATTGCATTTAAATTAGAGGTGCAACATCAAGATGTTCACTACCCTGGACTGCTAACAACCTCCCTTGCAAAGACTATCATTTGGCTCTAGATGAAAAGACATTTATTTCTGTTACATTCTTACTGGGAGAGGGTCCAGTTTCATCTATGGATACTGAGAAAAGTTCCTAGGTCAGGTTTACTTCTGAGTTGGCAATTCTGGCAATAGCGAGAAACATATGGCTCATACTATGTGTTTCAGGTTTGGTTTGGCCATTCCTGGACAAAGATATGCTGGGATTTTCTACATACCCTGACTCTCACAATAGGTTTTTAGACCAGCCTGTGTGTAAACGTCTATGGTAGGGATTTGTGATGAGGTCATGCAGTTAAGCTCATAATTGATTCATGTCCTCAGAATCCAATGTCAGTAGAACCCACAAATAATCTAATAAGAAATATAGCTAACAGATTCTTTTATCAAAAAGGAAAAAGAAAGTATTATGTCACAAAATATATACAAAATATGTAAATCCAAAGCCATAACTATAGTGAGAACTCAGTAGAAATTAAAGTTTAAAAGAACTGGAGGAGATTATGCTAAGTGAAATAAGTCAAACAGAAAGACAATCATCATATGGTTTCACTTATTTGTGGAACATAAGGAATAGCATGGAGGACATTAGGAGAAGGAAGGGAAAAATGAAGGGGGGGAAATCAGAGGGAGAGATGAGCCATGAGAGACTATGGACTCTGGGAAACAAACTGAGAGTTTCAGAGGGGAGGGGAGTGGGTGGATGGGTGAGCCCAGTGATGGGTATTAAGGAGGGCACGTATTGCATGGAGCGCTGGGTGTTATATGCAAACACTGAATCATGGAACACTACATCAAAAACTAATGATGTAAAAGCCAAGATGTTCATCGACAGATGAATGGATAAAGAAGATGTGGTATAGATATATACAATGGAATATGCAGCCATCAAAAGGAATGGCATCTTGCCATTTGCAATGACATGGGTGGAACTGGAGGGTATTATGCTGAGTGAACTAAGTCATTCAGAGAAAGACATGTATCATATGACCTCACTGATATGAGGAATTCTTTTTTTTTTAAGATTTTATTTATTTATTTGACAGAGAGAGACACAGCAAGAGAGAAGCAGAGGGATAAGCAGGCTCCCCGCTGAGAAGGGAGCCCGATGCAGGGCTCGATTCCAGGACCCCGGGATCATGACCTGAGCCGAAGGCAGATGCTTAACAACTGAACCACCCAGGTGCCCCTGATATGAGGAATTCTTAATCTCAGGAAACAAACTGAGGGTTGCTGGAGTGGTGGGGGGTGGGAGGGATTGGGTGGCTGGGTGATAGACATTGGGGAGGGTATGTGCTATGGTGAGCACTGTGAATTGTGTAAGACTGTTGAATCACAGACCTGTACCTCTGAAACAAATAATACATTATATGTTAAAAAGAAGAAGAAGAAGAAGATAGCAGGAAGGAAAGAATGAAGGGGGGGAATTGGAGGGGGAGACGAACCATGAGAGACTATGGACTCTGAGAAACAAACTGAGGGTTCTAGAGGGGAGGGGGTGGGGGATGGGTTAGCCTGGTGATGGGTATTAAAGAGGGCACGTTCTGCATGGAGCACTGGGTGTTATATGCAAACAATGAATCATGGAACACTACATCAAAAACTAATGATATATGGTGATTAACTAACATAATAAAAAAAAACTAATGATGTACTGTATGGTGGCTAACATAATAATTAAAAAAAGAACAAAGGAAGCTAAAAACAAAAAAGAAAGAAAAAGAAGAAAAACAACAAAAAACAAAATATGTGTTATTGGCTTTGGAAATAGGCTGAGGATGGAGTAAGTATTATTGGAGGTCAGAAAAATGGACACCTACATTGTGCAGTGTTGAAACATTTGAAAAACTGTGACTTGCTGTAATTTGGAGGACAGCTAATATATCTAATGAGTTTGAAAATTTTAAAAAAATAAAAAAATAAAAGTATAAAAAATAATGTATAACGCAAATATAATTAAGATGATTGAGAAATAATCTTGCTACATTAAAAGAATTACTTGAGAAAAAGTGAGTAATAGCAATTACAAATCTAGAATGGAGTATGTTCTCGAATTCTTGAAAACTCAGTGAAATGGAGCAAAGAATCCATTTTAGATTAATATAACCTAAGGAGATATAGTAACCTAATCAAGTGAGTATATTTTATTTGGGTCTTGATTAATAAAGTAAGTTATTTCAGAGACAACTGTGAAATATAAATATGGGCTTATATTTGATAATCCCAGAATTTTAATTTTTTTCTTGTGATAATGTTATTATAGTTACTGAATTATCCTTATACTTCTGATACTTATAGTGAAGTATTTAGAGGTAAAATGTCATGATATATACAACTTATTTTCAAATTATTCAAGAAAATGTCTGTGTGTAGAGGGAAGAGAGGTCAAGGAACAGGAAATAAAGCAAATATTTTACAATCTGGTAACAATTACTGAATCTAAGTGTAAGATGTAAGAACATTATACTATTCTTCCAATTTTTTATATGTTTAAAATTTTCCAGATAGAAAGTTATAGTTTAACTTACATGTTCACTATCAATAATAACATATATGTATTTTCTCATCATTACCATAAAATAGAAATATCATAATATAGAACAATATTCATGTTGAGTCATATATAAAAATATACATTAAAAAATAAATTTTACGAACTCAAATAAAATATTAAAGTATTATAAATAAATATTTAACACTTAGATACATAAACAGTTAACAAGGAAAAACAATGCGGTAATTGATTTTCTGTGTCCAACCAGAAAAAAATTATATCTTCAGAGTTAAAAAGAGTGATCATCAGACTCCACCTTTCAAAGCAGAGCTTAAATGGTTTTGAAGATGGAAAGCCTCTGAGTCCTTCATTTGTCTGTAAGAGGTGGACTTATGGGCACTCCAAAATTTCTCTTCTCCTTTTCAAGCTGTACTTGGTTTCCTGTCCTTCTGAATCTTCCCCATTGCTAGGTAGAAGGCATTTAAACTCAGATCCTCCTATTAGAAGTTATTAAAACTCAGTTTTGTTTCTATTTTAATTGAAATAATGTTATACTTATAATAAACATTAAGGTTATAATATCCTTAACTGCAATGTAAGACTTTTGTTTTGGGTGACTGGGTGGCTCAGTTGGTTAAGATGTGTAATTTGTCATATTTTAAAATCTCTAAAATCTGAGGGCACCTGGGTGACTCAGTCGGTTAAGCGTCAGCCTTCAGCTCAGGTCAAGATCCCAGGGTTCCCTGCTCAGTGGGGAGCCTGCTAGCCTGCATCTCCCTCCCCTCTACCCCCTCCCTCCCTCCACTCGTGCCCCCTCTCTCTCAAAATAAATAAATAAAATCTTTAAAATAATAAATAAATAGGGGTGCCTGGGTGGCTTAGTTGGTTGAGTTGAGCATCTGCCTTCCCCTCAGGTCATGATCCCCGGGCTCTGGGATCAAGCTCAGCATGGCGCTCCCCGCTCAGAGGGGAGTCTGCCTGTCTCTCTTCCTGTGCCCCCCAACTCATGTGCTCTCTCTCTCTCTCAAATAAACAAAATCTTTTAAATAAATAAATAGATAAATATAAATAAGTAAATAAATAAAATCTCTAAAATCTGAATACAGTCCTAATAATGACAAAAATGGTTTTCATCTTTGCTGTGTAGGACAAGGGTCAGCAAACTTTTGTAAAGGGCCAGATAGTAAATAGTTTGGGCTCTGTGGGCCATACTGTCTCTCAATTCTGCCATTGTAGCATGAAAGCAGCCAAAAACAATATGCAAATGATAAACACATTTGTATTCTAGTTGAACATTAATTATGAGCACTGAAATCTGAATTTCATATCATTTTTATG